ATACTATCGTTATTGCGTGCATGATACGATCCTATTTATATAAAAAATGTACCTGCAACTTTATTTATACAGTACAAACATAGACTTAATTTTAGCGATCATACAATAAATTATACTTAGATTATTTTTATTTTTTTTTTAAATTGTAAATATCTTATATTTATTATTCAATAATGCTTGAAATTGTAATTAAATGTATTTATCTAATACATATCGATATGCAAATTATTTTATTAGAAATATTTTATTAAAACAACAAATATTGCTATCAAACGTACCCAAAGATGTTAATGATTTATTACAAATTCCATTGATGAATTAAAAAAAAAAAGTTTTCGAGGACATAGACAAAGGTACGAAGAATCCAAAGAAAGATAAATAAATGGTGGTCATTACAAATGATGCATTAGCCGTAACTGATGCGATAATTGCTAGAACCGGTGATAAACTTGTTCTTGTTGAGTAATTAATTATTCAACAATTTAATCTTTACTACCAAGTTATTTTATAAAAGTTGACGATTGTTTTAATCTTCACTTGCTGCAAAGCCATTTTCTTGGAGGTGGAATTCTTCGAAATTATCATAATATGCTTTTTAACAAGACGTAGGTACACTTGTGAGATTTATTGACGTCCACGAGACAAAAGCGTTTGCTCAAGTATAAATATTAAAAGCATAACATAATTTTTATAACAAACTACCTATAATATCATTGACATTCAAAATATATTTATTTACAAAGCTATCATTGAATTATTTTCTTTTTTAAAAAAAATTTAAAACTTAAATTAAAAATTAAGTATTGACTTTGTAAATACATATGGGAGGTTTCCAACCATCTAATTCCAAAGAAACTTTTTTTTTAATATTATAGTTTGTTTCAATATTTTTAAAGTATTGCAAAATTTTTTTACGAATTTTGTAACCTTTTTTTTAATACCATTATCGCTATTATCAAACATTTAAAGTTTTCTATTAAAATAAGGGGGAATTTATTAAAATTATATCGCGTTGCATTTCTGAATAAACCCATAAAATTAAAACCTTAATAATAAAATATTCTAACTTGTGAAAAGGTTTCTTTAACGAGAGAAAGGTATGCCATTTTGGTGCCCAAATGCGTTAATGATCAAAGCGATTTTTTGTGACAGAATTTCATCACTTTTGATACTCCACATTTCGAATGTGCACTTCGAATGACCACATCTGATTCTCTAAATGACTGTCCCAGATGACTTGGAATATCAAAATTACATTTCGGATAATTTCCAAATGATCACTTCAAATGCTACTATACCATCGAATCAACTAGATTCATTGGGAACTTAAAACAATGATATGATCATTTTAAGCATCCCGAAGTGATATTTATCGAAGTAGTGAGGTATGTTATTTGGATAATTTCATATGTTGGATTATATATTGATTAATAAAAGTTCAATAAGGAGAGATTGGAACTTTAATATAATTAAATTTCTTAAATTATTAAAGTCTTTTATTAGTCAAAATTAAAAAAATAAAATATATAATAAATTGATCGCAAATCATACTACACCTTAGATGATCTTCAACTGCGTCGAAAATGATGCATGTTAAACATGTATCGAATAGTTTACATTTTAATATAAATATTATATAGTCTTCTTTTTATTACTTATTTTATATTATCTAGTTTTCATTATATATATCATTTATACTTATCAAAAAGCGTAGTATAGTACTTGGGACTAGACTTATAACTCTACAGTTTTAATAAAGTTATTATTTACACTTTCAACCTTCTTCTTGTCTTCATAATAGGATTGATCGTGATAACCTACTACACAAGTGAATCGTGATAATAAATTGTTTTGTTTGTTAATCGATAATTTCTCTTAGGAAAGGCCTTTGAGATAATTGTGTTATTAAGTTTATTAGTTTTGTTAGCTTGGTTTTGGGACGATCTAACTCCGGTAAAGGATTTTAGGCCGTTTGCAACCTTTAGTGTTATAATAATTTCTTTTTCACCGTTACTCACATATCATTAAAATGTAGGGAGGTCCATCTCAACTTTTCACACCCGCTATCCAAAACTTTTGGAAGCGAATCATCTCGAAGGAAGAACCTAAATAGTGCAAAATATGAAAATAATAGAAATCATCAGCAATCCAATACCTAATAATAATAATTTTACCTTGCGACCCAACCCGAAAGAAATTACCAAACAAAAAAAATTTTACTTAAAAGATAAAATTAAAATAAACACGTGGCTAACTCAACCATCGAATCCGTCGAAATTTCAAAATATCTTGAAAAAGTTTTGAAATATAAAGAATTATTATATTTTTTTTTTTCTTTTTGTTTATCAAAAAAAAAATGTAATGATTTTGTAGGTGGTATCTGGTATTGGGGCGCTGATCGGTTAAGTATTTTTAAAAAATAAAACCGCATTGCGGTGTTGGGGTATAACGTGTGAACTGAAGTATGATCGTCAAAAAATTATTTGGAGAATCAATCAAGAGCAATGTGCCACCGGTTTTTCGGCATCCTTTATTGTGCTAATTGGAATTTGTCACGATCTACAAAACTGCATTTTTTTTTCTTTCTCCAAAAATTTTAATTTTAAAAAAAAAAATCAAAATGCAAGCTGCTAATAATTCAAATGAGTGTATTGAAGAATATATTTCAAGTAAAAATATCAAATACTACGAATATAAACATTTTAGTAATCTTGAAGTGATTAGTAAGGGTGGCTTTGGAAAAGTTTATCGTAGCATATTGGAAAATTTAAAACAACCTTTAGTGTTAAAATCGTTTAATGACTTTAACGATGCCTCCGTTAAAGAACTTGTTCGTGAGGTAAAGGCAAATATAATATATATTTCAATCTATTTCAGTTCTATTTAGTATAAAGTCATCAAGTTAAAATTTTTGTTTGTAATAATTTAGCTAGAACTTCATTGTGAAGTTGATTTTCATGATAATATTATTCGTTTTCATGGGATAACTTCAAAAAAAGTATAAAATTTTTCACGTTAAAGTTTATTAAAGACATTTATATTGTTATTTTTTATTTTACCTTATTTTTAACTCGATTATATTTTTTTTTAAAAAACTAGAAAATCAAAATGATCAATTGAAAAAGTAATGGAATATTCCGATGGCGGTACTCTTAGAAATTATTTAAAGGATAATTTTGATGAGCTTAACTGGGATGATAAATACAACTTTGCATACCAATTGGCTAGTGTTTACATGGAGAAGGAATTGTGCATCGTGATTTGGTAATCTTACATAATTTATATATTTTTTGATTCTAATATTGTTAATATTTAATATTTAATTTGATGTCTTTATATTTTAATTCATCAAGGTGTAATTAAACTAGCGGACTTTGGAATATCGAAAAGAATTGAAGCAACAAGTCAAAGGTCTTTGGTATACTTCCTTATGTTGATCCAAAAAGATTTGATAGGCAGAGAAAAGATGACAACACATTGCAACAATATACGCTAAATGAAAAAAGTGACGTTTATAGTGTTGGCGTACTGTTATGGGAGATATCAAGCGGTCTTCCTCCTTTTTATGTTAATATGATATTGGTTTAGCTATCGAAATTTTAGGAGGACGTAGAGTAAGGATCATTCCTGGCACAACTGAAGATTATGTGAGCATTTACACTGGTAAATATATTATGATTATGAATTTATTTATAAGAATATAAATGAATATTAAATATTTAACCTAATTTCAGGGTGCTGGGATAATGAGCCGGATAATCGTACATCAATAAATCAAGTAGTTGATAAATTATATGCAATTGTTATGATAATTAACAAAACAGAAAATAATCAAACGAATAATTATGAATCCAATCTTCAACAACGATTTTTGGATAACATCAATTCTTCTTCTAATATAAATAATCTCAAATTTTTCGATTCGATCAGATAGATCAATTAATTTAGCTCAATAAAATATCAGAAATTATTTATGATGATATAATTGAAAGTTTAAAGATTACGGAATTTAATAAGGAGGACATATTAATCGCTTTAGGAGGATTACAAAGATATCGAAAATTAACTAAACTCATTTTTTATGATACTAAAATAAATAGCTTACCAACTTTACCCAATTCTTTAATAATACTTTATTGTTGGGATACGCAAATAATTAGCCTGCCAAATTTACCCGATTCTTTAACGGTTATCAACCCCGAATCCTTAAAATCTCAAATACGACAATAACTATTCTATGCGTTGAAATAATAGTTTTAACTTTAACCAAGATATTATTTGAGTTGTAACTGGATTCTTTGGTATATTTATAATTATAACCTTCTGAAAGTCAGACAAAATTGTGAGAAAATTTGTTAGTTACAATTACATTCCTTGAGCCTTGAAATTTAAGACAATTTGTAACGTTACTTTAAATATTAAAGAAATTTTCATCAAACTTTCTCTCTTCAACGTAAATTATTTTTCAGTAACATTTTATATGCGGCTAATGGTTTAAATTGAATCCACTAATTGCATTTTAAATCAGCTAATGAATTTTTGTACGCCTGTTTATCTATCATGAAGAAATATTCAAAAATACAACAAATCAAACTTTATTAGAATCCTTTCTATAAATAATTTGGTTTTTGCTTTCAATCTTTTTGTTTACGTAGATGATACTTTGTCGGAACTTTATGAAACATTCATTCGTACTTTACAAATATATGTAGAATTACGGCCATTCCCACACACACCTCCTTCAATGATTTATTGAATAATTAGATTGGCTAAAAATACTGCGTGATGATTATTTTAATCCAAAAAACCTGGAGCTATGAACCATCTTTTTTTTAATAGAATGCGTTAATTGGTTAAATTTTACCATTGATTAAGTAAACCAAGAAGTTTGCAGAACGCATACTTCCATCTTTCCATTTATACCATGGATTTTCAGCAAGATTATTGCCAACAAGTCATTATGTTACTACTTATAATCAAATTCTTATAGCAAATAAAAAATGTCAGAATGTTCAAAATGCAAAGAATATTCAATATTTACCATCTCAATCACATTGAGAGAGGTGCGTGGGACGGACTATATCTCTACATTGAACGAATAAAATTATCTATACCTCCAAAAGAGTAATTTTTTTATCCATTTTAATCTCATTTTTTTCTTTCGAGTTGTCATGAATTTCTAAAACTCTCAGATTTCGACGGGTCATAGGCAAAACTATAAAAATCAGACTAAACCTTCGAAGCTCGAAATCAAAATAACATCTCGTCAAAAGTCAAATTATATTAAAGACATATTAACAAATCCATCGATATATAGAGTTTCTATTTGCTAAAATGAGTTTTGCCAGGTAACTATATTAAAGGAGCCTCTTTCTTATGAACAATGGACCATAGGCTAGATTTTTTTAAAAAAGCTTAGCATGCAACACAATAACAGTGATGCATAACACAATTAAGATGCAATTGTAAAAAAAGAATAAATATTAATTCATTTTAAATTTCGATCGACAATGCATCAGTTCGTTCAAACTTGATCACCAGGCAATTGTATCTTTCAGTCAAGACAGAGAGGTGTAGTCAATATCAATCAAAGACATTTGATTGACAAAACTTTAACTCGGTAAATTTTATCTTTTTTTCAATCGTTAGAAATCGAAAATTGAAAAAAAAATTGTAACGTATATTTTAGAGGAAATAACAACATTACACAGGAGAAAGAATTTTCACAATAGAGTTAAATTTTGTCGTTTGAATACTATAAGTTATATTTAGATCGAGTTTGATACTTCCAAAGATTTAATGATTCTGAGATTCTTTTGGATGAGTTGATCTACTTTTGGTTCATTAGTTACTTGCAGCTTATATAATTCTACACGCTATTACAAAAATAAAGTTTTTTAATAAATAAGTGATAAAATTTTTATTTGCTTCAGCAGTTAGTTGCTCATAATAAAAATATTAATCAAAAAAGCAAATTAAGTAGAAATGCAAATGTAATTAAATAATAATTTAGTTAAAGCAATAATGGAAAAGTATTAGAAACAAAATGAGAAAGTAATAAAGCAATTCAATTAATTAATAAAGTTAGTGGCATATTACCAGATAAGAATTGCGTTATTTTACAATCCAACACCATCCCACTGACACAACATTTTTAATATTCGGTTGCTGCGGGCTTGAAGCGATCGAACCTGAATAATAAAGTAACAAGATAATTACAAATAAAACCGGCGAAAAAGATATCGAGGCACCAGATGCATCGCAAAATAATAAAGTAAAAAAGTAAATTATAAATAAAAAATGATACCGCAATAAATAAATCGATGGACACAAGGTGCCCGAAAAGATGAGACCTAATAAATAAAAATAAACAAAGTAAAATTGAAGAAATGAGAAAACGCTTGCCGACTTTTTTAATCAATGCAAACAACGTGATGCGAAAGAAAAGAATAACATTAAAAGTAAAACTAATAGAAATATTCTTAAACGAATTGAGAAAGTGATGATGAAACCAGAAAACAAAATTAAATTAAATTAATATAAAAAAAATTAGAAAAGAACAACTTGCGATTAATCGATTTACTTCTTAGGATCGATTCCAATTACATTCTTACTAGTAATGCAAAACTAGAAATTTATAAGAATAAATTTTACGAGAAAAACTGTTAAATTTATTTACATGTTTTAAATTATAATGTAAATAAATCAAATGAAATTATTTACATAAAAAAAATTACTATTCCCGACACCTTGGTTTGAATAATATTATTTAAAGAAAATAATAAATAAATAGGCAATAATTTATTTATATAATAACGTGATAATACAATTTAAAGGATTGAGAAATCAATTAATTATAACATATTATGAGTATAGTCGTTGTGAGATAGTTTGCGAGATTTCTTAGACTCCTATAACGATATAACGATAAGAGCAAAATATCGAATGCCCTGTATGATAACGAGTTTATAAATACGTTCCATGGGAAGATAATTCCCCCTGATGATCATTTTATACTGGATATAAACCATAATTCCGGCTTATGTTGGACCATTAACTTTGTAGGTCTAGCTTAACAACAACCTATATGCCCAATTTCACCAGAGCGCAGGAGTAAGCTTAACTAACCTCCGAAGCAAGATGTTAGCAGGGTAAGTATTTAATATCATACTCAAACTTTTTATTTATTTTTTATTAGTATATTACAAAAAAAAAAAATTTTCCTTAAAGAAATTTATGTTAAAATAATTAATATTTACTAATACCACCCTTACGACGTTAATTATTTAATATTGTTGCAAAGAAGAAGATAATTATTTTAATTTTTTCTATAAAACAGTCGTTAAGGACAGGAATCTTCAAAAATTGGATCGATCATGCCAGTGCAACGGTTTGTTGTTTTCTTTAAATTGAGGATAGTTTTAGCGAAAGAGAATCGAGAATAAATTTTTAAAAAATAAATAACCTATTAGTAGATTTCAAAAACTATGAAAATCATTGTAATTTTTTAACATTTATATTACAAGAATATTTTTTTTTTTATTTATAAAAAACAAATAATTCTTTTACATACGAGCAAAAAAATTTTAAAAAAGTCATTTTGGCGAGACAAATGTTAAGCTTACTTTTTTATATATATATTTTTTAGATGGATATACTGTACTTTGCAAATATCACGTGAATTTTCGTGAATCCTTTTTTAATAGGTGTTGTTCATTTGGCAAGTTAGTTAAAATTTATAGTAAAACAATTTAAAAATTTCTAAAATAACTGACAATGGTTGACTATTTTATAAAAAGATAAATATAGAGGCGTAAAACAGCAAAAGTAGATCTATATGCGTTGCTACATCTCGCAGGTTGCTTTGTTCATGTTGGCATTCATGGAAATAAGTCATGTTAAAACGGTAGTTTTAACTTAATTTCAACTTTAAATAACTCATACCATTTAGATAATTTTTTTTAAAATAATTTTTTTATAATTCACCGATCTTAGTTTTTTTAATTGAAAATATATAAATATTTTCATAATCTATAATCAAAAAAAAGTCTTTTATATAGCGAAACTTAAATGTATAATAACATAGTTTAATTACGTAAACAAAAATGTTCCTATCATTCCTATGAATGAATCTTCATCAAGTTAATAATATAAATAAGCCACTCAACTAAAATTGGTTATTCTTAGTAAATTTACTACTTTTATTAAAATAGTACTATATTGACAAATAATTGTGTTTAAACAAAATAATTTTATTTTGAGTACAATGGTCAAATGTTTTATATTGTTATACCTACGATAATCGATTATGAACCGGTTTTTAAAATAGTTGACCCAAAATTAAGACTTTGCCCGAATTACATTAGTTCAGGTTAACCTAGTGATGCCGACTTAACTGAAACCAAAATGATTAAACAGTACAGTTTAACATTTCCATTAGGCAGTTATTTCAATTGTGAAATGCTATAATGATGGTTAAATGATAATTTGATTAAACTCATTATTTATTTATTATTTATTTAACAGTATTTTTTTTTGATTCTCCCGCTTCGAGCAACGATCAGAATTTTTTATTTTTGATTTTTTTTATTTTAAATATGATTTTCTTTATATTTTTACTCTAAAGGTTCCTTCACTTTATTTTTTGTATTTTATTTATTATATTTTTTTTTGATTATTACGTTTATTTTTTTTTTTATAAATCTAATAATTATTATATCATAAAGAAATGCTATGGTGGTGAATTGTTAAGCTACGCTTTATCCACACATATATTGGATTTTGCTACTTAAAATGGGCACGATTTTTTATTCGATATTTTATTAATTTGATTTTGGTAGAATCGATTTCAATCCCTATATTCGTGAGTTTAAATTTCTTTAACTTGTTTATTACAGCTTTATGTGTTCCTGTGCGTGTTACACTTTGTGCTCCTTTTATATGGCTTTGTCTTATGGACTATTATTAACTTTGTGGGGTCTAGGGATGCGATGCATAGTAAAAGCATTACCATTTTCTAAGTCTTGTGTTGTCTCTTGGTGGAATTATCCTCTTAGACTGTGTATGTTTTATGTATGTGTCCAATTTCTTTGAAGCATACAATAAGCTTTAGCACCGTGTTTGTTAGTTTCATTTATTAGGTATATACTTTTGACTCGTTTCATTAGATGCTGTTGTGCAATTATTAATATCTCAACTTGCACGTTACACAGAAAAATAAAATTAACGAAAGAACTAAAATTAATTTTTTTAATTCGTCAAAACCTTCTTATTTTTGCTCTGTTGAGCGCGATTATATTCCAACAAATTTAAGCCAAACAGGCTTTAATTAATGAAATATAACGCTCTTTTCTAGTAATCATTTGGTGCCAATTAATTTTTTAAATATTTAAAAATTTAAAAAAAAGATGATGATGTACAGAAATTTTATTTTAAATATACCAGAATTGTGATTCACGAGTTCAAAGCATAGCTTTGGTCGCGGCACAAGCGTTAAAATTTGCAATGTAATGAACTTGAAAATAGTAATCCTGAAATAGAATGAATAATAGATCAAGCAGTGGCTAATCTGAATAGAAACTCTTATGATTATATTTATTAAAATCAGTTATATATTTATTATTTTATTATGGAACTTTTAATTATTAAGGATTGATTCACATTCTAAATTATTAAAGTGAATCAAATCCAAAAAACGAGATTTTCACTCGTAAATTGCCTTCGTTAAATCTGGCTAGCCTTTGTGGATCAATTTCTGATAATAAAAGAATAAATTTTGTACAACACAAATCGTCCGAAAAATGCGAACTAATAAATTGAATTGCTGATCAATTACAATATGTCGAGCATTTACGTGCAGATATTTGCGAAATTTTATTGTGTTGTGTAATTTAAATTTAAATTCAGAATCAAGAAATTAACGTTAATAAAATACAAATGATAATTAGAAAATTTTTTTCTTTTTTTGTGACTGAAATTGATTTTCATCTGAAATTGGAATCCCAATTTCTAACACTTGAAGATCGTCTGAATTCCAACTTCAGATAAAAATCAAAACACATTATATATGGATTTTTCGTCAAGGGAAAAAAAAAAATTATTTCACTCATGAAGAAAGGTTTATTATACATTCTTATACATTATTCATCAGCAGTTATAGCTGATTGGATCACCGTAGAACATGGTTTTAAAATGTGTGACAGGTCATACCTTCTTACCTTGCAGCATTCCATATAAACGATGATGGCGTTACTTATTCGACGTCTCCTTTGGTCAGGGATGTTCAAACTATAAGTCATGAGCAAACTTTAATGACTTTAAACATCACTATGTG